TCCCTGCTGGGATTTTTACCGTGTCTGTGCAACACCCCCAGTGTCGCGGCCGTGCAGACGTCGGGGCAGAGGCGGTGTTTTTGTGGCTGCGCTCTTAACGACGGCGGCTTTTTGGCGATGAGTGGAGGTGCTGGCGGCGAGGTCATTTTGGTGCCGGGGAAATTCCCGAAGGGTCCTTCCTCCCCCTTTCTTTGTTGCTTGTTTGCAGACAAGTTTCACTGCGACTGGGCAGAACAGGTCGAATCGTGTGGATGCGACGGGCCGTACGAGGGTCTGATGCTGCGTTGCTGTGCACCTTGTTTCTCTATTCCGGCTACGCCTGACGCCCTTTTGCGAGGGGGCATCTGAGACGTTTGGCTGCGGAGTGTGGTTGGTTGCCCCCATGTTGCTTGCGGGGGTCAACTGTGTGGTGTGTGAGCGTGAGTGGTTGAGTCGCAGCGGAAAGGTTTGCCTTCTGCTGCGGGGGACCCGATTTCCGCTGCGGTGGTGTTTTTCGCCCGTACGCAGGCCGCACGCCCCCACCTCACCGCGCACCACTTCACGCAGCATAAATGGGGACGACGCGCTGCCGACGGTGTTGGTTGCCTCGTTTTTTGTCGTGTGTGCCTCTGGGCACGCGGGTGGCTACGGGCGCGTCTTGGCCGTGGCTGCTTTTGGTGCGCGTGCGTGTGTGTGTGCTCGTCGGTGGGGCAGACGCGAGCTCTTTTTTTTTTGGCGTCCTCGACCTCACACTAGACACGAATTGGAGTACAACGACACAATAAGCAAGTAAACCACAGAAGGAAAGGAGGGAACGAGACGCCACGCAAAGGAAAGACACGAGGAATGCACCACACTCCGTACATCCTGTTGCTGTTGCTGCTGCTGCTCTGCTGCTTCACCGCTTCTTTTGCAGCCGCTGAGCATCGCTGCATATTTGACCGCATTTCTCGCAAGGCTGGGCCCCCGATGAGGGCAGTTGTGCGTGAATTGCCGGGGCGGGAGCGTGACGGGACGCAGGTGTTTGCTGCCTTTGTGTCTGACTGGGCGCCCATCCGTTTTAAGGTCTTCTCGAGGGACATGAACAGTGCTTCCAGGTACTGCACCGCTGCGGGAGAGTCCCGCCCGGACATGGGAGGAAGAATCCGTGTGTGCCGGCGGAACGATGTTCTCACGGCCAAGAAAAAGTCCATCATCTTGAGTCGGTTGCTTCCCCGAGCCACACAGCTGCACATGGATCGTCTCCACGTTCAACCGTTCACGGGCGCGGTGGTTGTTCAGAATTTTTCGGCTGGAACAGTATTGCGGCAATTTTGAAATACCCAGCTCCCACCACACGAGGGGCGTTTTTGGCGCGGACATGTTTTTGTACGCCGCTGCTGCACCGACTGAAGGTACTAATAATGCGTGGGCAGTGGCATGCGTTGAGTTGCACGATGGGCGTCCTGTGGTCGGGATGATAAATATTGGCCCGGATTCAGTCACCTATTCGGAGTTCAGTGTTCGTGTTGCGGCGCATGAGATTGCGCATGCACTCGGGTTTGAGGTGGAAGTTTTTGATGCCAGGAATATGGTACAGATGATACCTGAGGTTCGTGGAAAAAATAATGTGCTCGTTGTGTCTTCACCCAAGACGCTGGAAAAGACTCGTGCGCACTTCAAATGCACAGGTGCCCCTGGAATGGAGCTGGAGGATGAGGGTGGGGGTTCAACGGCATCATCGCATTGGAAGAGACGCAACGCAAAGGACGAGCTGATGGCTGGAATTCCCAGTGCCAGCTACTACACGGCGCTGACGATGGCTGCTTTTGAGGACATGGGCTTTTACAGGGCACAGTGGAGCATGGCGGAACAGATGCCATGGGGCAACAACTCCGGCTGCGAACTGCTGACGGAGAAGTGCCTGACTGATGGCGTCAACCGGTATCCCGAACTGTTTTGCCGCGCCAGAAGAAGAATTCCGGTATGCACATCGGATCGCTTGGCTCTGGGGGCATGTAGGACTATAATCTACCCAAACCCCCTTCCAGCACAGTTTCAGTACTTCACGGGTCCCAGACGCGGTGGGGTCATTGGCGACAAAATGGACTACTGCCCCTACATTAAAGGGTATAAGGACAGACGGTGCATCAATGGTGGTGCACGTTATGCGTGGAAGCCGCATTGGCCCAAGGTCAAGGTGCTTAAAATCGGATGGGCTGCGCGATTCTGCTGGTCTCATTGGGGACGTCTGCGCTGAGGTGTCGTGCGACAACGACACGGTGAGTGTGCGGTACCTTGCTGATGACACCTGGCATGTATGCCCAGAGGGCGGCACTATCACACCAACTGGGCCGGTGTTCGTGAGCGGGAAGATTGTGTGCCCGAGGCGCATTGAAGTGTGTTATGTTCACTAGACACGCAGTGCTGGCGCCGATGCGAGTCAGTTGGCATTAATTTTTTCCTCAATTTTAGTGGTCGTGCTGATCACGGTTTTAGTATTAATGTGTTGATTGTAGCATAGGAAGCGCGCTGCGCAAAGGCTAAATATGTGGTGTTTGGGTTCGTGCTGAAGGCAGGCAGCTCCACGTGAAATCATTTTTTTTTCCTTTTCCCTCTGAATATAAAAGTGACGCAAAAATAATGAAAAAGAAATATAT